TAAAAAATTTGTCCTACAAATGTAATATTAGGCTAATGCAAAGATTTTCTTTCTACACTAACGCGCAATCTTTTGCACTTTTATCATCTGACATATGAGATAAAAATACATATGTATTTTTTGAAGAGGGAGAAAGAGCAAAGAAAATAAATACAGAGGATGTGCAATTGAAATAAACAGAGCTATTGATATAAAAATAAAATCCGAAATGCTTTAGCAAGTATTATAAATAATCGAAACAGTAGATAATACGGATTTAATTAATTATATAATGACATGCGTAAATGTCTAACAATGAGCCCCGGGATTGGGCAGGCATTTAGCTAGTCATACTTAACCCAACCTAACGCAACCTCCCCGGCACGAGGACGAGGAGAAAAGAGGGTCGTTGCACAGACGAGAAGATACGTCAGGAGCGGATCCGTCGATGGGATTAGGTCAATGAAATTAGACGAGAGAATTGCGTTTCTGTTTGAACCGATAGTATAGCTCCCTCGGAAACATGTGGCTGGAGGAGTGCGATAGTTTTGCCGAACTGTGTCGTGGATACTTGCCGTACTATTTGTTAATAGTCCTGCCGATCTTCATCATCATCTCCCCGGTTAATCCTGTGGCCGCCTCGCACGAGTTCCCCGTGTATCGTATGCACCAGTACGACTTGCACGGAGTCCCACATGGTAAGAAACCAATAATGTCTGTGATGATTTCTCTGAAGATTATGCGGTTCTCAAAAAAAGAAATTGTTTTCCATGCAAGGTTGCCGAAGCGCACCTATTTCTCTGGAGGCGAGATCGTTGACTGGATGGAGCACTTCCAGGCATTGCGTTGTTGCGAAGGCTCTGGATGTCACATCGTCTGTCTTCAAGTCCATTAAGAGCAAAGCCGGTGCGTTGGTGATTGTTTTACCTGAAAAAATGAATGAGCTTACTGCTGAGGAAAGAGAGGTGAGTAATAGAATTAATACAGCTCTATAAAATAGAATATTATAAGATATATTATAATAAATTAAACTGTTTCGATTTCAGCATATAATAAATCTAGAAGCATATATGATGTATGAATCTGAGACGATGATACCGGTATACTTTGCACTGTGGCATCCAGATCTTCAAACAATCCTGGATGATATTGCAGACGGCTTTATTACTGATGAAAAAGCTGGTTCGGCAGCAGAGGCTATGTATAACTCCATTTCTGCTAGTGGTTATCAAGTAGTAGTAGCCACTGGACAGGCACTTCCTAAAACAGATGTTAAAGTTGCCACGTTATATGGCAAATTGACTGGAACTGGTGCTGAGGAGAAATTACCTACTATAGCAATAGTGACGCATTATGATAGTGCTGGTGTAGCACCTGTAAGTTTATAATTAAATTCTGTATCATGATTCCTGATATTCATAAAGATTAGTATGTGCTTAGACATAATTTATTTTATTGAAATTGTAGGAACTGTCATTTGGTGCAGACAGTAATGCTTCCGGTATAGCTATGTTATTAGAAATAGCAAGACTGTTTTCTGCTTTATATTCGACTGGTCGATCAAGACCACAATATAATCTTGTGTTTATTGCAACTGGCGCTGGTAAATTAAACTACCAAGGTAGTAAAAAATGGTTGGAAGATCAATTGGATGGACTTGAGGGATCTATTATACAAGTAATGCCATATCAATTAATAATACTTATGTTTAATTTGACTAATAATAATTTTATTATATTTTACCTATAAAATTACATTTTATCTATATTCTATTATTTATATTTTATCTATAAAAGATCTGATTTATTTTGATTATAGGATGCAGCTTATGTAATTTGTCTTGACACAGTTTCGGCGAGCGATAATTTATTTATGCATGTGTCAAAACCTCCCAAAGAGAATTCGTCTGGTAGTCTATTTCACAAAGAACTTATGATTGTATCCAAGTCTTTGAATACCAACAATGTTACAATAGTGCACAAAAAGATAAATCTTGCAGAAGAAACATTAGCTTGGGAACATGAAAGATATAGTATTCGAAGATTGCCAGCTGCAACTTTATCCACACTAGAAAATCATGAAAATCCAATCAGAACTACAATATTGGATATTGCTAATCACGAACAAGTAGATACATTATACAAACATACTCAAGTTGTATCAGAAGCATTAGCACGTCATATATATAACTTGAGTTCTAGTCAAATCTTTGCTGGCCCACTGGTACGTTACAAATTTTTTGCATTCTTAGCTATATTATTTTTTATACCCTATACATCTGAAATATTTGTGTGTATAATTAAGAGACTTAGAGTATATTATAAAATTGTTATAATTTTTATTTATATCATGTATATAGTGTTTTATTAATGATTTAAATATTAATGTGAATAATGTTTACACACTGTATATCTACAAATCAATTTTTACGTCAAAATCTTTCTTTATAGGATGTATCGAAAGAGTCACTGTCTTTATGGTTTAATTATTTTGCTTCTCAACCAAGAGCTGCATCATTACTAACAGATAAATACAATTTACTAGTTGGTACATTGAAAGAAGCAATGGCAAGATATTTGGGAGATATTAAAGTTACTTTCCATATTCCTGATAAGCGAGATCCAGAATTTGTATTCTATGATGTTGCAAAAGCAACTCTAAATGTATATAGGTAAAATATAATCATTTCTTTTTTATACACATATATGTGTTTGTAATATACAGTGTATAAAATATTGATTATTGTTATATAATTATTTTCATTTTATTACAGTGTAAAGCCAGCTGTGTTTGATCTCTTCCTTACAATTGGCATAGTTTTGTATTTAGGAATATTATACATGATTGTGCATAATTTTTCACATGTTTATTCTCTGGCAACAAAGCTTTCTGCAAAGAATAAAACATCTTAATCTTATTTTACATTTATAAACAAAAGCAATTTTTTTGGATCAATTGATTAATAATACTAAACAGTAAAATTAATCTACATCGCAATATTCTATATTGTAAAAAGATATTAAAATTCTAGGATTCTTATAGATAATACATTTCCTCCAAGATATTGTGTAAGTACTTTAAAATGATTATTAATTGATGATTATATTTAGGTATCTGTCAAAGATAAATAATTTTTGACAAATACAAGTGTCTGTTTGTGTGTTGTATATTTGTTTGACAAATTTTTAATTATAAAATAATTACATAAATTAAGTATTTATAATACTTAATTATATGTTGTCATCCTTTCTTAACCTTTTCCAGCAATAATGATAATTTAACATTAAAGAAAAAAAAATTTTCGTGCAAATAAGTGTTTTTTTTCTAATGAAACTCTAATTAAACATATAAAAAAACAGATTAAGGCCAAGCATAATTAAGATTAATTATATATGATCGACCAAATAGTGAGATACCAGAATGCAAATAACAATGTAAATTAAGGAATTTATATTATGTGCAAAAATATAAATAAATATAAAATTTAATATTTAGATATATTTAGAAATTAGATTTTAAGTTTATATTAAAGGTGTTTTAAAAATACTCACTGATTTTTACATTCTATAACAATTTAGAAATGAGCTCAATTTTTTAAATAATTAAACAAAATAATGAATAAAATTCTCTGACCTCACGTGACTAATATACCTTTATAAATTATCTCATCTAATGTATATATTCTTTATATAGAAAAATACATAGAAAAATATGTTTACAGAAAGAACAATTTCACACATATGCATACATACATTGCAGATCTGGTAAAATAATATATAATATATACTACTACTGTAGAATGCATATTTTAATAGGTACAACCAAGAAGAAAGTGCTTCGATTTATTGCTTTCAATTAATTTTTAATGGATTTTAAATGTTAGTGTAATTGTATTTTCAAGAAAAAATGTAAAACTTTTTTATTTTGAAATTTAGTATAAAACTTTCTTTTTGATTGAATTGCATTATATAAAATTTTTTCTTAATAATTTTCCTATTTATAAATTTTCTATTTTAAATCTTTTAATACAAATATAAAAATTTATCATGTGAATTAATTGTGACAATATAAATCATTTAAATATTATTTAATAAACAAAATAAATATGTTTTGATAAATATCGTTTATAATTTGAATATTATATTTCTTAATTTTTTTATAGAAATTAAGAAATATGATAGTAATTAGTTAAATACATAAGAATATCTTGTAATAGGCAAGAAAAAATATAAATGTAAATAGAAATTTCAGAAATTTTTAATGCAATTATACAGAAAGGAGTGAAATATACAGAACAAATTATAATACAAAATATATCGATCGCATTAATATAAGATTTTAAACTTGAAAACATCATACATTTCTTAGAAATTAGTAATATGCTATATATATATATATATATATATATATATATATATATATATATATATAAACCATTTAGAAAGATGGCTCCTGAAATAACATTAAAAAAAGATTGAACTAAAAAATATAAATTTTAATAAACTAGAACAACACAGGCGCGCGCTATTGAGCTATTTTATATATATATATATATATATATATATATATATATATATATATATAATGCCTTTTCTCTATTTGTCTTTCCACCCTTTTTCTCTTTAACTTTAATTTATTTTATATTTCTTCTTTCCTTAACGTAACAGTCAACCTGTCAAACTGTCAAATTGTCAAACGACACGAATGAAGCAAGTCACTCAGCAAATTACTATTGATGACCAATAACCAATCATCGCGGAAAAGAGGCAATGTCAATAACATGCCTTTCTTAGAGAAGGATAATAAATTTAAATGCATGCAACATATAAATTTTGATAAATAATAAATTATATTATTTTAATAAATTATAAATGCATGCAACATATTGTAAATTATAATATAGAATTATACAATTTGAACATTTAATTATACAATTATAATTTTCATCAATGTCAATAATATATAGATACATATATTTTAAAAAATGGTTGAATTAAATTTGCATTATAAATATGTTTACCATTAGAATTTAATTTTTGCCGACTTTTATAAATAGATTGTGTAACAATTACATCAAGAATGTATATTACTACATTTCTAAGTGTAAAACCGGTTAGACTACTTCAACTTGACCAAGTAACTGCGTATTTATCATCAGTTAAAAATCAGTGATTTCTCGGCATCATTTGAGGTACAAAGTAGTAAATAATTTTGCAATATGTACAAAAATTTTAGAAGAGGTATGTTTCTTCTGCGATTAGTGTCATTTATAAAATAATATTGTTTAAAATGATCGTGTAAAGAAACATTTTTTCGAATATAATTTCCAGATATTAGATGGAATATCAGCCGGACATTAAATTCTTTGGCTGCTTACATAGAACCCGAATTGGCAGCGATAGCACAAGCTGGTACATGGAAAAGCGAACACATAATTGCTTCACCTCAAGGAACAAGGATCACTTTATCAAATGGGAAGAAGATGCTAAATTTTTGCGCGAACGATTATCTGGGTCTTGCGGTAAGATAAAATTTTAAATTTAACAATAAATTAAAGTCAATGTTAAAGCACACAATGTGGCTTTATATTTTATAAACATTAAAATAAAGCTTAGTATGTGCGTAAGATGAGATCTCTTTAAAATTCCAATGTAACAGAATAACAAGGATATTATTAATGCGGGGAAAATTGCCTTGGATAAATACGGCGCCGGTTTAAGCTCTGTAAGATCTATATGTGGAACGCAGGAAATACATGTTGAATTAGAAGAGAAGATTGCTAGATTCCATGGGAAAGAAGATACGATACTTTACACATCCTGTTTCGCCGCGAATGCCGGTATTTTTAATACTCTATTAACTGCTGATGATGCTGTAATAAGTGATGAATTAAATCATGCATCTATTATTGATGGAGTGCGATTGTGCAAAGCGAAGAAATACAGGTGATCTGTTGTAAATTTTTTAACTTGTTGCACTCTCACACAAAAAATTATAAAATTTTTTTTTATTTGTAATGTAAAGATACAAGCACAGAGATATGATGGATTTGGAAAGTAAGCTTCAAGAAAGCAAATCGGCACGTTTACGCCTTATAGCAACTGATGGAGTATTCTCCATGGATGGTACCGTTGCACCATTGCCGAAAATAATCGAACTTGCCCAAAAGTACAATGCTATTACGTTTATGGATGATTGTCATGCTACTGGATTCTTTGGCAAAACTGGCAGGTATATTCTAGAAAAATTTACATATAGTTATTTATTTGTTATCTATAACATCAACTTCTCAATTTAATTTTATCTCAATTCAGAGGTACAGAAGACTATTTTGGCTGTCTGGGAAGTATCGATATCATCAATTCTACATTAGGAAAAGCTCTTGGAGGAGCAAAAGGTGGTTATACAACTAGTAAAAAAGAAATTGTCAGTTTGTTAAGACAAAAAAGTAGACCATATTTGTTTTCGAACTCAATGCCTCCAGTTGCAATTGCAATAGGAAGTAAGGTAAAGTATTATCTTATATGTTTGAATAATTAGTAATCTCATAAATAGTGTATGCAGTAACAAGGAAAAAGACCTTAACAGAAATATATAATGATATTAAACTGTAGGCGATTTAAATGTTATTAACAGGCAATGGACCTTATAGCAGATAGTACAAGATTTTCGGACTGTTTAATAATCAATACAGAACATTTTAGAAATGCAATGATCAAAGCTGGCTTTGTTATCATCGGTGATAATCATCCTATTTGTCCTATTATGTTAGGTGATGCAAAATTAGCAACAACATTTGCAGATAAAATGATGGGTATATATCTTCTTATAAATAACTGAGAATAACTGAGAAAATCTTAAAAAGAAACATATAGAATATATAATATACAACAGAGCTATTCTTTTTAAAAATTTTATATCTTATTTTATCGCACTGAGCAGAAATGTTTCTTACAGAAAAAGGAATTTACGTTATTGCATTCAGCTATCCTGTAGTACCAAAAGACGAAGCGAGAATACGTGTTCAAATTAGCGCAGCACATTCGATCGAAGATATAAACCATGCTGTGAACGCTTTCATAGAAATTGGAAAAGAACTTGCAGTGATTTAATAAATATGTTTTTGACGATATATAATAAAAATTAAATATAATAAAATATAATAAAAATTGTATGATTAATATACATATATATTTCATTTCTAATATTAATTTTTTTTTCATTTATATATATATATATATATATATATATATATATATATATATATGCTCTAAGCTAATTTGTATAAATTAAATATTGCAAATACATAGTACGTGCAAATGAATGCAGTACTGAATTTATTAACATATATAATAACAAACATCGAGCAATATAATTAAGATTCAGCTTTCTTTATACAAATTTCCAACACGCGGAATTGCAAGTGTATAAAAACTTCGAATTAAGTGTAAAGTGTATATTGTATTATTAATCATTAATTACATAAATGCTAAGGCTTGTATGGTTTAACAAGATTTTCCGAAAATTCCCTGACCTGTTGAGCTCCGCGTACTTCTCTTTCCAATAAAGGAAGCCGTGTGATATGGAAGTCCTCATAAAGATCTAATATCTTAGGAAAAAGAAGTTTAACTTATTTTAGGAATTTTATCTTTCTTATATAATTTTATCTTTCTTATATACTTTTATCTTTCTTATATATTTGCGCATTTGAGTGAAATAAATATAAGATATTGTATTGAAATGTTAAAAAAATACAAATTGCAATATCATATATATTGCAATTTATATCTTAAATTAATTACCTGATCTAGATATTTATCTTGAATTTTATGCCTTGCGAGACAAAGCCGACAAGGAGTATCTCCTTCTTTCAAGAATAACAGTTGGTTCACTATGATATTATGAGTGTCAATATCATATTTTGTTAATTCTTGTACAAGTCGTTCCGTTTCATATAATGACAGAAATTCTGCTATACAGACACATATAAAAGTTGTTTGATCAGGATTTCTAAACTGTTCATTAACTTGTCGAATGACAGCAAGCATTTCCTCCATCTTATTGGAAAATGTATCTACATTAAACTCTGCCAAGCCCAACAATGAACTTATCTAGAATAAAAACTTTTTTTAATATAAATCAGAGAATACAACATGATACATTTGATATGTATTAAATGCAGATAAAGTACTGTATGAATTAAGTATCTAACCTGTGTAATGAAAGGACTAATCTTCATTTTCAAACGCATTAATTTCCCCAATCCTTTTTCAACCACTTGTGGAAATGATAGTAACCTTAGAGTATGTCCAGTAGGTGCAGTATCAAAAACCACAACGGAGAAATTCATTCCTTTCACAAGCCTAAAGATATTCACAAGATAGATAATTAAGAATAAAAAGAATAAAAAAAATTCAAAAATGCATCTGTAGTTTTAATTGATTATAAAGGAAGATCGTTTTCTTTAGTATTTTATAGTGAGAAATATGAGTGTGTAAATTTACTTCATAACTTCTGCATAACTCATTGCCTCGTCTATGCCAGGAAATGCACCAACAATTTCTTGCATAACATTTTTGCTTAATCTCATTGCTTCCCCTCCTGAAACTATAATAAAAACAAAACATTTTTAAAAATGTTTAAAAATAAATTTTGCAGAATATTTAGAAAAAATCCAGATACTTATATATTAAATTTAGTTTTATATATATAATTTAATTTTTTTTACTTCATATGTAACAATTATTATAGCATCATATATAGTTATATAGTTATCATAATCCATGTTATATTACTGTACTTTACTGTTATATCTATAATAATCATTATATAATAAAAATTTCTCTAAAGACTTATAAATATATTAAAATAAGGTTATTTTGAAAACAAACCTCCTTCGCTGTCAAAGTATTCCTCTGGCAATTCCGTAATACCAACATTTGGATCGATCTCCATGGCAAACAAGTTATCGAAACCCTTGACTTTTGTAGGTACTTTACTAAATTTCTGATCAAATGCATCGGAAATATTATGCGCCGGATCTGTGGATATGATAAGTACACTCTCTCTAACTTTGGATAATTGTACCGCCAGAGAACAACTGTAAAATGAAAATTAAATTATTATTGTTTATCATTTTCTTTTTAATTAAACAAGTCAATAAAAATATTTATGACACAAGTTACATTTTTTTAATAAAATCCAATTATTTCATTAATCAAATTTTATATTCGTCTAGACACAGAGAGAAAGAGCAAATATTTTTTGTCACATCAACGTAATTATTTACAAATAAAGTATTTACACATTAAAAAAATGAATATTATACTTATATCATTATATGGTACTTTTAATGATTCATCTTATTCAAGTGTTGCTGACATATGACTTTTTTTCCAGGTTATGTGTACCTGCAAGTTGTTTTTCCGACTCCGCCTTTGCCGCCCACGAATATCCATCGTAAGGAACGTTGCTCGATCACGTTTTTGATGGAGGGCTCGAATTCCTCCATCGCATTGTTCTCGGCCATGCTTGTCTGTCGCGACGGTGACGATGCGAACTTCGCGGAAGGGAAACACGTAACTTTTTCTAATCGTCACGCCGATGCACGAGGCGAGATGCGAAAAAGACGCACGATTTCAGACTAAAGTCTCGCGCACAACGTGGCACAACAACCAGAGAAGTGTCAAGACTTCAAGACCTGAACACTCTAATTGCACCTTCTACACTCTTTCCCCACTCGTAACAGAGAGAAGACTGAGAGATGTCATGACCTGCTTTTAGGTGATCCCTGAAAGCGATGCTCCCTCTCATGGACGTAAGAAATACTGGACAGAGCATAAAGTACTCTTTTAGACGAGGGGAATGAAATCTGAGGGGTAAGGGGTTTATTGTCGCGACCATCTTAAATGCATCAGATTTAGCGTCTATTTTCACGTCGCACGGACGTAAATCGAATAAAATATGAGAGATTCCGTGAAATCATCTATCATCTGAAATTGCTGTGTTATTCCGAATCATTTTTGAATATTAAGAAATTCAAAAATATCACACTCCGTGAAATTAATATCCGTCGCCATCTTACATGCCTCATATTCCGTTGCAGTAGACATTTCTTTCCCCTCACCCTTTGAGCTTCACTCACGCAGCAATACACTCTGTCCAGTATTTCTTACGTCCATGCTTCTCATTAAAATGTGTAAAACTGTACATCGCACATTTAATACGATTAATATACTACGTAATAAAATGTAATACACTAATGAAATAATTAAATATTATTTTTGAAAGCATAATAAAATCCAGGCAGCATACGCTTATGTTTACATCGACATCCAAAGCACTGAGAGGTTAGGTTAGGTTAGGTTAGATCGAAAAAATTTAACAGTTGGCAGCCCTACGAGATAGGCTGTGCAGCACTGCGCGTATATAAAATAAATTTGAAATCGCTTCTAGCCTAACCATCTTCACGCGATCGACTTTATTTGAATTGCACGGCATCACATCGAATTATGATGCGGCGCCGATTTGTTCGAACGTAATTCAGGACATCGCGATACTGTATAAGCGTCGAATGAGCACGAATTGTCACGCAAATATGATAAATCACATTTACTCACCGTTCACCGACTGTTCCATAGGCCGCACCACTCGCTCGCCTCGGGACGTCCCATTCCGATCTTGATGCACACAAACTCACACGATATCATCAACGCGAACGTGCGACACTTTATTCGGCACTCCCGATATTCGCTCGCATCCGATAATCATCATCAAGGGCGCAAATAACGCGACGCGACTTCGCTCTATCTTCGCGATCGCGCTATCACTGAACTGTGAAAAATAGCTGTCGCGCACTTTCACCGACATATTATGAAAGTCGCGTGATCATCCTTGGACACTTTCGACGCTCTTTCACTCGCGATATTCGTTTAAAAACGGTTAAAAGACGCGAAAAATGCGGACGTACGACGATCCGTGTAACTGCGTATGACTCCGATTCACGTATGACGCGTATGACGTAGCTATGACGCGTATGACGTACAGTCACGCGCCAACATGGCGGCCGAACCAGTGCGCAGAAACGAATGCGCACTGGTTCGGCCGCCATGTTAGCGCGTGACTGCTACGTCATATGCGTCATACGTGAATCGGAGTCATACGCAGTTACACGGATCGTCGTACGTCCACATTTTTCGCGTCTTTTAACCGTTTTTAAACGAATATCGCGAGTGAAAGAGCGTCGAAAGTGTCCAAGGATGATCACGCGACTTTCATAATATGTCGGTGAAAGTGCGCGACAGCTATTTTTCACAGTTCAGTGATAGCGCGATCGCGAAGATGGAGTGAAGTCGCGTCGCGTTATTTGCGCCCTTGATGATGATTATCGGATGCGAGCGAATATCGGGAGTGCCGAATAAAGTGTCGCGCGTTCGCGTTGATGATATCGTGTGCATTAAGATCGGAATGGGATGTCCCGAGGCGAGCGAGTGGAGCGGCCTGTGGAACAGCCGGTGAACGGTGAGTAGATGTGATTTATCATATTTGCGTGACAATTCGTGCTCATTCGACGCTTATACAGTATCGCGATGTCCCGAATTACGTTCGAACAAATCGGCGCCGCATCATAATTCGATGCAATGCCGTGCAATTCAAATAAAGTCGATCGCGTGAAGATGGTTAGGCTAGAAGCGATTTCAAATTTATTTTATATACGCGCAGTGCTGCACAGCCTATCTCGTAGGGCTGCCAACTGTTAAGGTGCAATTTCATTGACGCTAAAAAGTAGCGTCAATGAAAAGGCCGCTTTAAGATGCGGCCTCATTAACGCTAAAAAGTAGCGTCAACCATTGGTTGAACAATGAAGCAACTATACTTACCTCCTTGTTCAACCAATGATTGACGCTACTTTTTAGCGTCAATGAGGCCGCACCTTTACACACTGAAAAAGTTGAAACTGTTGAACTTTATTTTATTGACGCCAAATCTAGAGAAAGTCTATTTTAATTTGCCGCTGGTTTCTAGCGTCAATGAAATTGCACCTTAATTGATCAATTGCAACGTCAAATGGGACGCTCCCGATGCTGCCATATAAAGGTACCTTTAATGCCTCCAGCCAATCATCTCTCGCTATTTTATTTTGGCCGAAGCAGGAAATTGATTGGCCACCACGTGAGTCGTATATACGAAAAATTCGTAAAGTATATACGCATGGAAAAATCAATCAATAATTCGTCTAGTACAAATAATATGGTCGCATTCGAAGGACTCAACCGCTGATGTGATTAATTAATATTTTTTTGTACATGTATTTTGAATCTATATAAATCATGGACGTAAGAAATACTGGACAGAGCATAAAGTACTCTTTTAGACGAGGGGAGTGAAATCTGAGGGGTAAGGGGTTTATTGTCGCGGCCATCTTAGATGCATCAGATTTAGCGTCTATTTTCACGTCGCACGGACGTAAATCGAATAAAATATGAGAGATTCCGTGAAATCATCTATCATCTGAAATTGCTGTGTTATTCCGAATCATTTTTGAATATTAAGAAATTAAAAAATATCATACTCCGTGAAATTAATATCCGTCGCCATCTTACATGCTTCATATTCCGTTGCAGTAGACATTTCTTTCCCCTCACCCTTTGAGCTTCACTCACGCAGCAATACACTCTGTCCAGTATTTCTTACGTCCCCATGCTCCCTCTATGAAAATCGTGGACATGAACCAATGTCCATGAATGTTCTCAGAGGGTAATAATATAATGTGCACAATTTCTGGTTTTGTTCCGTGCTATGTGCACGAAATGCCGGTAGCACTAGAGTATAACAAAATACTTATGTATATAAATTGATAGTAAATAAATTATTCAATCGCGAAGATTCGAAAAATATAAATGTTGCAAAATATTTTAAGTCTTTTCTTTTATATAATATATAAAGAATTCATATGTTCCATTTTAATATAGCTAACATTATTTTTATATATTTTTATTATAATTTTTATTATATTATCTCATATTTTCATATCAATATAATACTTTTATGCTTAATATAATATTTTTATAATATGATAAAGTAACATGGGTGAAATATATTTGACTCTAAGTATTAAAATAATAATTATTGTCCGTATAAAGAGATTACAATGATCGAAGTGATTATTTAATATTTTGTATTCCTATCATTTTATCGATTTTCTAAATTGTATATTGTTTAATTAACAAGAATTGAGAATATTTAAAGCATTGATCGAAATATATTTAATTCTAATATTGTTAAGGGAATAATCATTATAATAAGCATCAATATGATCAAAAAATCATAATATATTTAATTCTCTTGTTCTCTTTCATGTATCCCCTATTTCAATTTTTATTCGCAGTAAAATGAATGATTACGATTCGATAAATATTTATCATTGCGATACAGTTTTATGTCGTTTATTAAAAGTTAATTAATTTTTAATTATTAATATTTATAGCAAATTATGTTTCGATACTAATCGTAATAGTGTTTAGTACAAAAATTACAATATATGAAGCGTTTCTCATCATTATTTTATTATTCGAAAGTCACTGTGCGAATGATGACAAAACCATAATGTAGCGCGCTACTGTTTATATTTTATATTGCCAAAGTCGAACACCGTGTTATCGATAATTTGTTGCTGAAATATTTTATATATTATAAAATATGCATTAACGCGGAGTATTAAATTATACAAGTATTTTAATTTATTAAGTAAAATTAATTATTTATTAAACAATTTATCATGGAGCCACATAAATAAATAAATACATAATATAAGTATATAATATAAATATAAATATATAAATATATAATATAAATAATAGCGTGAAAAGAGAGAACATACTAATTAACATATTTTACTAATAACATATTTTTATATAATAAATTATATAATAAATTATTATTAATTAAATTATTTATATTATTTATTAAATTATTATATTAATTAAATTATTTATATTATTAATTAAATTATTATATACTTATATTATGTATTTATTTATTTATTTTATTTATATTATTTATATATTATCAGAGGGACATATATGTTACCCTCTGAAAACATTCGTGGACATTGCTTTTGTAGTTCGTGTCCATGTTTTTAATGTTCATAGAGGGAGTATCGCTTCCAGGGATCACCTAAAAGCGCGCCATGACATCTCTCAGTCTTCTCTCTGGCGTCAATCGATAGAATCGTGGATAGGTTAGGCTAGGTTAGGTTAAAGAGGCAGCGGAGGAGGAAGCTAATCATATGTATCTGGCTCCGATCAGTATGGCTATACGTGAGAAACTCGTAGTGATACGCACGGTTATACACGGTGTACGATTAATTTGGAAATGAAGTGTTACGTGCAATAATCTTGCGTCGAAGTGGTGAACACAAGTGGAGGCTAGTTACGTCGTATTTTCTTGTTACGAGCGAACAGTGGACATTGTAAAACGCTAGAGTATAGAATGCCGCAGTTTCACAAAATCGAGATCAACAGGACGGAATGGGAGGTACCGGAGCGATATCAATTGCTCACCCCCGTGGGCTCAGGAGCTTACGGACAAGTCTGGTGAGCGATAATAATCGACGTAATACATAATAGTTTGCGCGCGGACAGATTTTGGCTCGTTCTACGTCGAAAATTTTGCCAGAGGTTCACTAGGAAAAACATTCGGAGGGTATCGCGGAAATAATTTTTAAATATATTCTCAACTTCATTGATATTCTTTAGACGGTTTTTTTTTATCAAAAAAAATCTAACGTGTTTCTCCGGCTCGTCAGCTGACGATGACACTCGAACTCAGTTGTTTGACGTCTGTGAAAATTGTCGGGACGAGAGATGTTCCGTTACATATATCGTGAACCCCGATTGCGACCTTGACATTTACAATATTTCTTGCGTAAAATGACGAGACGTTGTCATCGCACGATTATTTTCTATCGTGAAGAACAGCCCGGCTATAATTATTGTCGGAAATGCGTTAAATTTCGAGGAATCGCGCATGCGTTTTCTCGCATTTTCGCGAAAATAGAATAAATTTGGAAACAGCCTACAATAATGATGTTTGTCAAATAGTGAAACGATTGAAAAATAAATGCATAATTTTATTTCTTAAAATAGATTAGTTTCGTCTGACAATGAGTTATATTGTTATTTTTTTTTTTTTTTATAAAAATGTTGAAATGTGTAATCATTATTTTGCAAATTATAACGTAATACTTATCACAATGTGTCGGTGGAGAAACGTGACTAGAATTCACGCTGCTTTTTTGAAAAAAGATATATGTATATTTCAGTTCAGCCGTTGACACGACTACCGGACAAAAAGTGGCGATTAAAAAGTTAGCCAGACCATTTCAATCAGCTGTACATGCAAAACGGACATACAGGGAGTTACGTATGCTAAAACACATGAATCATGAAAACGTGAGTAAACACAATTATAAAGAGATCTTTATTATTCAATCTCTTTACATTTCTAATCAGTCTTAAATATGCATGTGATTGTAGGTGATAGGATTGCTAGATGTATTTCATCCATCTTCGTCTTTGGAAGATTTTCAACATGTGTGGGTATTGCTCGACATATGAAAAATTAACTTTAGTTTACCTAATTTTATATTTTATTTATACATATATATGTATTCACACAGATACTTAGTCACACATTTAATGGGCGCTGATTTAAACAATATTGTCAGAACACAAAAACTTTCTGATGATCATGTGCAATTTCTTGTCTATCAAATACTTCGTGGCTTGAAGTATATTCATTCTGCAGGAATTATACATAGGGTATGATAATGTATTACATGCATTTATATAGAAAATAAAAGTATAAAACATCAATTTCTCATAAATCTACTGGATAGGATTTGAAACCATCTAACATAGCAGTCAATGAGGATTGCGAATTGAAAATATTGGACTTTGGCTTAGCCAGACCTACAGAAAATGAGATGACTGGTTATGTTGCCACTAGATGGTATAGAGCACCCGAAATTATGCTTAATTGGATGCATTACAATCAAACAGGTCAGAATTATATCGATAAAAGTTAGCGTGAAAGAACACATTATTTATCTTATTTTAAAGGAAAGATACAAAATTATTATAATACTATATACATGCTATAATACTATATACATATATATATTTTTTTTTAGTCGACATTTGGTCAGTAGGATGTATTATGGCAGAGCTATTAACTGGAAGAACACTATTTCCTGGAACAGATCGTATCCTTTGAGTCATTCTTGACAAATTTTGCTGTATTACTAATATCCAATATTTTCCACATTGATATATTTTTCCCATAAATCATACAATAGATGTATATTTTATGTTTTTAACACGAGATCATTAATTAGCCTTGGTATTACTTCCGTCTGTTTTGCCTGAAATGTTCTTTCGTAAATGCTTTTTGCTAAGGGTCTATAATAGCTAATATCCCATTATTGCATTAAATTGTTAAAGCTAATACACAGCATACTTTGCTTAATATGCTTTTAGAAAGCCACTCATATTTTGCATCACTTGTAAGCTGTCTGCAGATTGAATAAAATGTAATAAAGATTCTGTATACACAAATTTGAATGACACATTTAAAGTATATTTGTAGCATATTGCTTTTATATGTAATAAGAAATATTTTATAAAAGGGATATTTATTGTCTTTGAAGAGAAATATAGTGGAGCCTTAGCAAGAGCAGATATTCATCAATTGAACTTAATTATGGAAATTTTGGGTACTCCACGAGACGAGTTTATGAAAAAAATATCGTCAGAATCGGTAAGTTGTTTTAGTTATTCCATGTTGGTTACTTCATGGATATATAGCATGGTTATGAATTTGTGCACGTTTTATATATGTATTTTAGGTAGTATTTTAGATAGTGAGTTGCATTTTCTCTCTATTATTATATCCCTTTTCTTATTTTATTAACATGTAAAATAAGTATAAATATTATAATCTTGGCAAATTCGATAAATTACTTTTATGTATAATATTTTATACAAAATTCTATAGTAATAAATCCCAGCATTTTGATAAATTATAATTATATTTAATTATTATAGATATATAATAATGGGTTAAGGTATATATGGGTTAAGATATATATATTTATATGTATTGGTATATTATTATATTTATACATAGAAAAATTTAAAAAGTATATATTGTTATAAAGTTATTTCTTTTGTATATTCAATATTTGAATTAATTTTCACTGCTTTATAACATGTAGCTTATTCTAAATGTGCATGATAACTTATAATTTATGAAAATGATTGTATATTTAGCACTATTAAAATTACTATTTAGTTGTCATATCTAATTTTAATATTGCTTTTTAAACATACCTTAACCATAAGCAGACATTGATCACCTAACACGAGTGTTAGTGCTCTGTGGCACACCCACAGAGGAAACATTAAGCAAAGTTACTAGCCAAGAGGTAAATTTGTATTTTTTTATGCAATTTAATGTGATAGCATATAATATTAGATTTCATTTTTCAAAATGTGTAGCTTTTCAAAATATGTATTTTTATTTCTTTATAAAGATAATTTTTATACATTTTGATTTCATATGTAGTATTGTATTGTATTATATTGTATTTGATGTTAAAATGTAAAATTTATAAAAATATATTATATTATAAAAATTTTCATTTATAAAACTTTTAGGATGTTTTATATAGAAATTTTATAAAAAAATGTATACACTTTACAGTACATATAATACATAAGGAGTACAAATTGCATAGAGAGTACAGAGAATTGCAGAGAGTACAGAGCATAGAGTTACATCTAAATTTAAAAAATGCCATGATTTTTTTATTGGAATTTTTAATTATTGTTGTAGGCTAGAAATTATATTCAGAGTTTACCACCATTGAAGAAAAAAAATTTCAAAGACGTATTTCGTGGAGCTAATCCTTTAGGTAAATGCAAAATGCTTGTATTGTTAGAAATGTATATTGATATATGTATTGAATGAGTAAGTAGAATTGTATTGTATTTCCATTTAGCTATCGATTTATTGGAATTAATGTTGGAATTGGATGCAGAAAAAAGGATTACTGCTGAACAGGCTTTAGCACATCCATATCTTGCACAATACGCAGATCCAACTGATGAACCTATTTCTCTACCATATGATCAAAGTTTTGAGGATATGGATCTACCAGTAGAAAAATGGAAAGGTAATAGATCTTTGTTACTTTTTTTATTTTAATCTAAAATATTTACATTTTGAATAACTAGCATTCTTACTTGCAGAACTTGTATACCATGAAGTTGTAAACTTTGTTCCACAGCAGCTATCCACGTTGTCTTCAACAATTGAAACGACTTCTTAAGAGTACATTCATAGCGTGAGTGATGGATTTAAATACAGTAAGATATAGAGTATGATATAAAGATTAACATGGAATAAATAATATCATGAATAAGATATATATATATATATATATGTGTGTGTGTGTGTGTGTGTGTGTGTGTATACACACACACACACACATACATATATACACACACAATGCATACACAATTGCTAAAAAACCACAATGTACATAATTTAATAGATAATATTTTGTTAGCTATTCAGGTTTATCTATCTAGAGGATAGAATGTATATTTTTGTTAAAAAAGAGAACACATTTATTGTTTAATTGCTTAATTTAATTATTAATTGAATACCAGTTTATCAATAATGTCTATTCTTACACAACAATATGTTTGTGTATAAATTTTTTTAGTTATTTTATCAGATATTTCTTCTAATCTAAGAAGAGAAATTGTTATCAAATTAATTTATCAAAATATATAATTGAATATATATAAATTATGATGAACTTGCCATATGATACAGTAAAATTATGTAGTACTAAAATAACAGCTTTAGACTTAAAAGTATGTAAAAATATAACAATTCTAATGCTTATCATTTTTTTAAATGATGCTTTTAAGTAAAAAAGATAGGAGCTAAATATTTTTCTATTTAAGTCGCCTAAATTTAATGAAATGACCAATATTTATGAAACTAGAATTAAAAAATTACAATTGCCAGTAAGAAAAACAAAAAATGTAACAATAAAATCAAAATAAATGTACAACGACTAAGCATTATTATAAATCAGGAATTGTATATTTACAGGATAGTGGGTATTGTTATAAAAAAATTGTAAAAGAATTTACAAACAGATCTTTACACATAATTTATATTTATATAACTCTAATATGTGTAACATGAAAAGAAAATATGTATAAAGATATACATATCTGAGAAATAGGTTAATGAATCTTAATACGATCTCCTCTCAGAAGACTTTCATTTATTTTTAATCATTTACTCTTTTGTGTCATTTATTTTTTTCTCATGTCTTCTAAATTTTTGTGTATTTGTAATTAAATAGTACAATGAATAAGCTTGCTGTAACATTTGTGACATATTTTGCATTGATACACATCTTCCAAGAAATATCAATTTAATATAAAAGCTAAGAGCAAAATGAGATTAGACAGTATTTGAATTTACATTTTAACATAGATATTATGATTGGTTAAATAACCTATTTGGTTTAGTATAAATTATATTTCTTAATAATGTCAAATGTATGGACTGGAGATGATACTGAGAAATTAATAGCACTCTATGGGCAATATCAATGTCTATGGAATCCATTCCACCCAGACTTCAATAGCACATTGTCACGTTACAGTGCATACAAGAAAATAAAAAACTCGATTAATATTCCTGGATTAACAATATGTGATTGCATTGAGAAAATTACAAGTGTAAAGAAAGAATACTGTTATGAACTATCAAAAATTACTGCAGCTATATTTTGTGAAAAATTGTACGCACCAAAAGCAGAATGGTTTAAAAGAATGCATGTACTCTTTTTTCCATATATACCGACATCTTCCTATAATGATCTTAAAAAGGTATATGATGTAATAAGAAACAATTATTTCAGGAATTGTTATATAGCTTTGATTGCCATATTGTTAATATATGTAATATTGTAATAGTAATTATAAAATCATAAATAATAATCTCTTATAAAACCAATATTGTGATTTCTATTCATATTTAATGATATATGTAATTTTTGTATTTATTTTTGTATTTATGGTATGAAAATTTATATTTGCAGCCAGATAGCAATAAGCAAAAATTTAATGATATCAGTACTCAAGATGATCTTTTGCATTCATCTCTTGAGAAATCAAAAGATAAAGCAAATGTTTGTTCAAATGCTATCTGTGGAACGTGCGAACTTCAAGAAATCGAATTATGTTTAAAATTGAGGTCATTTGCTATTTGTATTTATTTCATGTATTTCTCAGGCATTACAAAATAAAATTACAATAATATTTTTCAAGTACAGAGATATAATCCATTCTACTTTGAAACCACAAGATGCTCTCATTTCTTCTGAAGCAATTCAAATGATTGATGTAGCAACAGATATTTCTAATGGTGTTTATTCTACTACAGAGAATGAAACACAAACGGATATATTTAATGTTAGAAATAAATGTAAAAAATATATATTAATAATATACGTATATAGATATATATTTTCAGTAATTAATATTATATAGGAGCAAAAGTACATTATAGGCGTCGACAAAGGAAAAAAGGTTTATATATTGAATAACAGCAAGTTATTTAAATTGTCAATTTCTCAAGAGGAAAAATATAAAATCTTTTTTAATAGGATCGTTCCACATTCACGGATGATATTTCTGTAGAGATGTTTAGTAGAAAAAAAATTGAAGATAGTTTTGATTTATTTGGGAAAACAATAGCTTTCCAATTGCGAACTGTTGACATAAGTAATGTTGATCATAATATGAATATTAATAATTGTCATTATTGAACTAGTATACTTATTTTTTAGAAACTGCTATGGAATTGGAGAAAGAGATACAAAATTTGATTACAAAAGCACGGTTAAAAACTTTAGAGTCTAAATTAATGGATCGGAATGGCAATTCAGTTTGCTGCTGTGATTGTAATGATTGTAAAGTAATGTGTAAAAATGAAACTTGTAATTGTGGCTTAACATTAAAGGAATGTTTATTACTAACAAAGATCAAAAGAAATAAGGGCTATGAGTTTTGCTACAAGTAATGTCAAATGTATGGACTGGAGATGATACTGAGAAATTAATAGCACTCTATGGGCAATATCAATGTCTGTGGAATCCATTCCACCCAGACTTCAATAGCACATTGTCACGTTACAGTGCATACAAGAAAATAAAAAACTCGATTAATATTCTTGGATTAACAATATGTGATTGCATTGAGAAAATTAGTAACAGAGTTTAAAGCTTTTTAATATTGAGATATTGATATAACTGCAAGTAATAATTCTCAATTTAAATTATTTAAAAAATTAGGTTTTTACATATATAAATGATATATATATATATATATATGTACACAGTAATTAAAAAATTTGCTAATAAAATATTAAAAAATATATAGAAAACTTAATAATATATAGTTTTCTCTATATATATATTTTGTGGTATTTTTATCAATTTATTAAAAAATTTATATATGTATATCTTGAATTATAATTAATTATAGTCTATACAATTTTTTTATCAAACAATATTAGATTTTTCTTTTTCTATTTTTATAGAACGTCAAAAAAATATAAAAATTTATCTAATATTATCTAAAGTTGATTGAAGTTAATATTCTGATTTTTAGAGCATTAAAAAACGCTTCTAAAATTCCATTATATAAATTTTTAAATATTTACAAAAAAAAGAACTGATTTATATAGAATGTTATTTTGATATATATGTAAATAATTCTTTTATAATTAATGCCTTTATAATAATTTTATAATTCTAATTTTGTCATGTTTGATACTTGTAAAAATAAATAATATTTCGTATATAAACAAGTTTCAAAATTAGATAATAAATAAATAACAGCTTTTTTTTGTCAAGTTAATAAAATAAATAACGATTTTTAATTTAAATCCTATTTTATTACATGAAAATGTATAATATTTTCACAATTAGAATATAAGTGTTCCTAATTATAGAAGTACATATCTGCCGAAAACTAAAACGCGCTTATACGATATACAGTATCAGTATTTAAATTTAATAAAATTGTATAAAAGACATTTATTTTTTTCGCACTGTTCGTTTTTATACATGTGCTATTAAGATTTGAATATCTTGTAATTCATGTGACAAATCCGTGATATAAACATTTAACATTATTGAAATTATTTGTTCTGATATTTATATTTCTGCTCTATATATACTATATAATGAATAAATAAAGTAATTTCAGTATAATTCATTAAAATATATACTCCAAATCGTCAAAATATATCTTAACATATATTTATACAATATATTAGAAATTTTACATTATACTACAAAATAATTTGGTATTAAGAAATTTCAATAAATCAACTATTAATATATTATATAAGATCTACTATCAAAACTTGCACATTGGAACACATTTCTGGTACTTGCTGATTAAATCGGCATGTATCTTATTGTTTATAATAATAACAATTTAAATCCAGACTAAAAATAAATAATGTCACATTTACAATTTTTAATAAAAATTTTACATGATAAAATGAAATGTTTTCATTAAGAATGCATAATAAAAGAAACAACATATATATATATAGAATATAAGATATTTATAGAATTTAACATTTTAATTAAACTTTGTATGTATAATACTGTTGATATTTTTATAAGACACTCTTTGAAAACTGAACAGCTTCCATTCTTAAAGTATATATATATATATATATATGTGTATATATTAAATTATTGTACTCTTCCAATATTTGATGATTTGTCAAGAGTCATATTTAACTTGGGTCATCTGACTAGCTTAAAAGAGTTTCATCGTTTCTTAAATATTTCATCACTTCTCAAGTAATAAATGGTGGTGGCAAGACAATGATACGTTTTCTGAAAAAATAGATAAGATTCGATTTACATTTTGATGTACAACAGCTTCATAATATTTAAAAATATACAATATCATCTTTTTTTCATACTATTATTTAATTTGTTTTCTTTGCGTCCGCTTTCTCGTCTTTAGCTTGACCACGACCCAACAATTTAGCCAACGAGTCCCAAATTCCTCCCAAGAACAAAGCGCAGAATAAATTTTCAAATGGCACAAATGGATCATGAATGCCAAGCAAAATTGATGATAGCTAGAAAATAACATTATTGTCAATTTTATATTGTTTTAGCAAAAAATGCTGAATATATATATATATATATATTCAAAAGAAAATTCATGATATTTACCTTGAAATAAACAAAGAAGATAACAATACCGAAATACACAAGAGCATGAGGTGCAGAAATGAGATCAGTCTTCTTATCTAGCACAAAGATAATCGATGCAACCATAGATGCTTTGGTAGGACTGTAAAATAAAACAATTATTTGATATTATATTTGTTTTTCATTTAAATATATATATAATTTTTGTGTTTGTCCATATGAATTATGAATTTTACATACAAACTAGGTTGCATGAATTCCATTGCAGTTGGAGTCCATACGCCACGTATAAGACGTTCAAATAATTTTGTAAATCCAGCTGCATTACCTATTTGTAGACATTATAATTACAAACTATGTTAATTTTTACATAATTTTAGGTTTTATAGAATGTGCGTTTATATATAATTTCATTGAAATAATATGTAATATGCATTATAATATATATTCAATGTTTTTCAACCAACCTTTAAGTGATCCAATCAATATCATAATGAGATATGCATTTGGATAAAGTTTTCCTGCATGAGTCACCCCATCATATACTTTTTTACACCTACAATAACATAAAATATTTTTGTACATAGATAATTTACTTACTTATAATATGCTAAATGAAAAACTTATTTTTATTTAATTTTATTTTCTTATATACACAAACAGTTTCTATAAAAAAGTTTCTATAAAAAAGGGAAAATATAGAAATATAGAAATATTGATATTTATTTACCTGTAAATTTCTTTCATAGCAGAACATACTATCTTTACTGGTAAAAATTTTGCTACCTTATAACCAATGTCAAATGGTGTGTAAAATATCACATACCTGAAAAATTTATATTTATTTTGATTAATTTTTCTAAAATTGACAATTATAAATAAATAAATAATAAATTTTATATAAGATACATTATATAAAAGACACACAATCATTACTTACCAAACAATAGTTGCGACTATCACTTGTGGTGTATTTTTCAGAGGTGCAAGAATAGGTTCACCTAATAATCCATTGCATAGCAGACCACTTGCAAAACAAACTAACATTGTAGAGAGCCAACATGATAAAGGATGCTTGCGAGAAAATGCTTGTGCACCTGAAAAGCATATGTATTATTACAGTTATATTATTTTTTGAAAATTTTATTACATATAAAATTTTTAATGTTTATTTATTTTTATTTATTACAATATACATGCATATACATTTTAAGCAGAAAAAATTATCTAAAATTAAAATTAAAATTTATAGCATAATTTCGGAATCTATAATTTAAAAATTATATACAAAATATTATTTTTGGAAATGTTTCTATATTGTAAATTTTCAAATGTGTATTTCAAATAAGAATTTATTATATTGTGGAATGTAGAAGATATATATGCTGTTTGAGATAAGTCAGTTAAAGAATCCTTACAAGTAACACCATGTAATGAACACCTACATACACCTAACACACCTCTCATATACAAACTTAAAGGTGTCGTGAGTTTCTATTAGCAAATGTTGTGATTACAATCATATGATAACATCAAATGCACTTAAAGAAATATGATGAAAAAATATTTTTCTTGAAGATACATTAAATTTTTCCTATAATTCAAGTCTTATATTTTTTAGAAAGTTAATTTAAAATTTATTTTTCTTTAAAAAAAAATATTTTTGTATATATGAATGTGTACATTAATATTAGATTAATAAATGAATATATAAATAAAATAAAATAGGAATATATTAGAGCAAAAATTTATTTTATTTTAAATTGTATAAACGAGGGAAATTACGTCAAAACCTCGGAATTCAATTTTTAGTAAAATAAGTAAATAAAGTAAATAAAGAGACAAAATTATGACCGATAAAAAACATTTATTTTTGATAAATTTTCATTTACATTACAGCATTTATTCCATCGACTATTAATATGTAATATCGACAGAATAGAGCGATTTGTTCATTTCTAAAACATACACGTTTTTAAGCTTCTCTTAGCTTCTAAAGGAATCACAATAAAAGTGCTCAATATTATTGATGTTTTGGATTCTATTTTATAGAGCAATTCGCAATGAATGACAATTGTTAAAAGGTGTGATTTTTTTATAGGATAATGCAAGGCCCTCACCTAGAAAACTATCTAGAAAAACTAGAAATATTCAGTTGAGAAATCCTTCCATATCCCTCCTATAAACCCGATTTGCTTTCAAATTTTCATCTGTTTGATTCATCGAAGGAACATTTGGATGGCAAACGAAATATATTTCAATTGGAAGATGAGCTTAAATTATGTATTACAATGACTCAAGTGTCAGGATAAATAATTCTATTTTGTCGGTATTAACGCATTGGTACATCAAAGAAGAAATGCTGTAATGTAAATGGAGATTATATTAAAAAATAAATGTTTCTTACTAATCATATATATTGTATATATAAAATTTTATGTTTTTAAATGTCTAAAAATTAAATTTCGATTTTCGATGGAACTTTCAAATTGATTTGAATAAATAGGACGAGAGAATTTCTTTTTATGCATGATAAGCCGATAAAAATTGTAGTAATAATAAGATATAAAAATTGAAATAATAAGTTTTTAAATTTAAATTAGCATGTTTTAGAGAAGCTGCTTTTGAAAGAGCCTTTATTTTGAATAGTCTGGCTGTAGTTGTGTATGTGTATGTGTGTGGCAAGGTGCATACTGAAATAGATCAGCTGGGTTGTCTGTGTTATTGCCTTGGGATAGAATTATGATAATTGTGCCAAAGAGTGGTATAAAATCAGCTCTTAATTTTGATCAATTTTGATTTTGAGAAGCATCTCTCTCTTAATATAATATACTTTATAATTATCTGATAATTCTTATATTTAATCACTTATACAAATGTAATATTACAACTATAAAAAGGGAAAAGAAGAAAATAGATAATAGAAAAAATATTTATTATTCATAAATATAAAAAATTATTAACATCAAATTATCTATTAATAGTTAATCATAGTTAATAAATAAACAATAAATAAGATTTTTTATCATGCAATTCTCTTTACATATTTTCTATATTCTTTCAAATAAAGAAATCTTAAAATATTTCTTTAGTTATGCAATAATGTCTATAGTATGCATAATATTTAGAGTCACGTGTATAGTATGTATTAACTCGTGAATAATATTACATAAACGATAAAATTTCCATGCTTGATAACTCGTAGAATTACTTGAGACACGTTTAAAAGATGCTTCTTGATTGTAATGTCATGACAATTAAATTTATTGTATGCCAAGATAATTTATATATAAATGAATCAATATTATAAATATTCCTCCTCAATCAATTGATGTTATTAATTGATATCACAATCATCAATCGTGTTTCATGAAACTTTGAAAAATATATGATTTACGAATCGTTATTATGTATAAAAAATGCATCCAGTATTTCAAGTCTGTTGAAATATTCATCATTGAAGTATTCCGATTTTATCTCTCGACAAGGACAGAGGAAGAGCATCTTCTAGATTCCTAAAAATCTCGCGCCGATTATTATATCACGTTTGTGGAGGAAATTCAATGAAGGAAAGAGAGAAAGAGAAAGAGAGAGAGAGAGAGAGAGATACAGACAGAGAGAGAGACAGAGAGAGAAAGAGACAGAGAGAGAGACAAAGAGAGAGAGAAGGAAAGGAAAAAAAACCAAAAGACACGTCCGTAAATATAAAACATCGCAGAGCGTGGGACGGTCGTCTCGGGAATAAGCGAGGCCGCGAGGAGCTCGATTCCCCGAGAGGGTCGCGGCATTCGGAGGTGCCCGCGCGTAAAGAGCATTATAAATTTAGAAACGGCGAGCTTACCGGGTCCCAGATCCTCCCTGACGTGCAGCGCGCACAGTACGCAGTGCGCTATGTCGAAATACGGGAACATTTTCAGCTTGATGACCTGGTTGGCCATGTCCAGGAACGCCTCGGGATCCATCGCGAGCACGCCGATGTTCCACGCTCTCGACCTCGACGAACAACAAACTCTTCCCCGAGCACTCTCGCGAGTCTCCTCGGCTTCCGATTCAAACGTACGCTGACAAGCGCCCGCGAGCGACGCTAGCTATGCGCTGTCTGCTGCGTCCGTCCCGTCGTCTGCTAGACTAACCCAACCTCGATCGGAAATTAAATAAAAAAAGAAAAAGCGGATCCCTCTTTACCGATCGGATAGAATATCCATTCAGAGAGAAGAATAAGAGACGCTTTAGGCGATGAAAGCGATGCGCCCTCTATAGACATAGAAACGTGGCATGAACTAGCGCATGAATTTCAAACTTCATGTCGAACGATAGTACTTCTCTCGTGTGTGTTCTGTTTCTTACGATACGTATGTTAAAAAGTGCGTTTCTTGTATAATTATTTCGACAGTGCCATGCAAAGAATCTCGCGATTGTTATATGATTAATCGTTATATGATTAATCGTATATTAATGTTATATGATTAATCGTATTTTCGGAAGTGAGCCACGAAGAAATAGCAAAAGACGAAGAGAGGAAAGAGAGGAAAAGAAGATTGGGAAGAGTCTCGGGCAACAGTCGGAGCAATGAAATATGCGGCAAGTGATTTATAAATTATTTATCATGCGTATTATTTTCAGACAGTAATTCTTGTTCGTTTTTTCATTTTCTTGAAAGTAATTTATTCTAAATTATCATTTAACGCATATATAAAATATTTTAATTTCTAGTTTTTCTTTCAAAATATTTCAAATAATACAATAAACATTTTTTGTATTAATCAATATTTTTATGTAGATAGTTTAATATTTTGTAAAATATTTCACAATGATGTAAAAATTAATATTTTCAAGAAAATATTTTTAGAGATTTTTACAAAAACTATAATTTTGTAAAGCGTTTATATAAAGTTATTAGAAAATTATAAATAATATTCTTTTTTTACAAAATGTATAGAATTATTTTACTGCTTATTATCACGTGCATGGAATATAAAATTCAATGCGTACAATAATAATTTTTTGAAACTTTAATTATTTTGAATGCCCTTCAGAACAATTTTCTGGTAAATAATTTATTTATTTTTAATTATATACTAAATATTTATTATAATTGCGTACGCGCAATTTAAATTAAACAATTAATCGCGTAATTTTTTATACATGATTTAAAAAGAGAAACGGAGAAAAAGATTTCTCTAGCTATAATCTTAAAGCTATAATCTTGTAAACGTATAAGCTTTTATAATTTATTTTCCAAAATTTACAATTATTTTATTAATCTATTTATTATACATCGAACATAAAATTCAATGCGTATAATAATAATTTTTTGAAATATTAATTATTTTGGACGCTGCTATAATTTGAATCCTCTATTTGTATATTATAGATCGATGCAACAACCCTGATGATCTGAGAGGAGGAACAGGCCTAGGAAAGGCATCCTGCACCGGCGGAACAACCTGATGGTGAGTATTATTATTTATATTAATTATTATATCACATGTGCATATTAATTTGATTCATTTGAATTCATTTGATTTATTTGAATGATTAAACAAGAAAGATTAAAAGAAAAGAAACTTTATGTAAATCCTATAAAAGTTTCTATTAAAAAATAATTTTTTCAGAAAAAATTATTGCATCTTTATATATTTATTTATTTCTTTATTTATATATTTGTTTATTACTGTACACATCGAATATAAAATTTGGTGTGTACAAAAATAATTGAATATGAAATATATAATTGAATAATGAAATATAATGAAATATTAATTATTTTAAGAGCTGTTATAATTTGAATTTTATATTTGTATGTTATAGATAACGTAGCTTCGGTATTAACAACTCCGCTGTTGCGCATCAGTGTCGGTGAGTGACAAAATTTTATGTATTATAACAGATTGTAGATACAGATTGTATGTAGATTGCAGGTGCGTTATCTTAAAATGGATGGGCTAGAACAAATTAAATCATATAACTTTATAAAAGTTAAAAAAATTTTTTTTTAATATGCATTAAAGCATAATATTAAAAATGAAAATTAAAATATTCATTAAAGAAAAATTTAATGTTTTTATTAATTCAATTTTTTATAATCTTATTCAATTATTTATTTTATTTAATAAAGAATATATATTAATATTTTTACTAGTACAATATAATAATTTATTTTTACAATGCATACTGATATTATTTTAATTTTTTATAGTCCATCCGTTTCTTTGTAGTGTAACATGTTAAACAATTTATGGGTACTTATGATGTGTTTAGAAAATATGTAGTTACAAATTATTTATGATAGCCATTTATTGAATATTATTTATGCTAAATACAATCAGAATTTGTAATATTTTTGGTATAGTTTTAATAGGTTTGTAGGTTTTATAAGCTTTCTCACTCAATTCTTCTGACGGATTCAGTAAGATTTACAATACACCGAATGGAAGGAAAATTGCGACTTCCAACCAGTTTTACATATTGAATCATATTAATCTTTCGCATTTTTACATTTATAACATAATTAAAGATAGGACATGAATAAAACATTGTGGACTATAGAAATATTAGAGCCTGAAGCAATTTATTATTTTATAACAAGATATGCAACAAACATAGATACATAGCAACATAAATTTCACATATTGCGTGATTTTAAATTAATAACAATCTTCACTAGAGAGATGAATTTATTATTTTTATTAGTATTAATTAATTGTGTAGTATTTTATTGAGATTTCAAAAATATAGAAAAAATATAGAAGTAAAAATTAAAGATTAAGCAAAGTATTTCGGATAAAAACCACGCAAAGAAAACTGTGCAAAGTCTTTCGGTAAAATCAGAAAATTAAATTTTATCTCGTTGAACGCAACCAGTTGGCCACATGAACGGTTACCTTTCAACATTATTGATAATTCTCGCTCAAACACGAAAATAAAATGACATGGACAATGATCGAGAACATAATCGCGTATCTACAATAACATTATCGATTAACATTCAGAGAAAAATATAATTCCTATCTATGCGTCACGCACGATACACTCTAGATATTTATACATTATTCAATCTTAGCTTACACATCACCTGTTCCCCATATTCTTTATTTCTCGAAGTAGAGGACGTGAAATCATATTGTCGTGTAATTGCGCCGATATATGTATGTCCATAAATTAAAAATAAATCTCTTGCTACCTACACATTATATTTATACAGGGTGTTTTATAAAAAATTAATAGTAGAGTACATATTTTTTCATAAACTCTGAAATAATTTTTCCTTAGCGATAATCTTATTTACGTCATTTTAAATACAAAATTACTTTATATTTAAAATTGCATTTGATCAATTTTAAATATGTGTAAACTTTTGCTTTGTTGTTAATGTAAAAGTCATGTTATTTTAATGGTGTTATTTTAATTAAAAACTTTAAATTTAATACGATGACAAAATTTAATATCGAGAATTCATTTAATACGATGACAAAATTTAATGTTGACAATTCAAAAATTGTTATTCATATAATCTTATAATTATCATCTTCAAATTTTTTGCAATTAAGATCTAATCTTTCCTAAATTTAGTCAATAATATATCACTATTACTGATGATTTTTTACATTACACCCTGTACGAATTAACAATAATACTGATGTAGAGAGAGATAGAGAGGCATCCTTTGAAAGACTTCACTTGCATATACAATCGTAGCCAGCAAAATATATATTTGACTTGTTTAATCTGTAATTCTGCTAATTACATCATCGATATAATGTATTTTTTGCAATGCATGCAAGTCACAAGATACAAATCGTGAACATACAATTACATAAAAAATCTTTTTGTAGTTACATTAAATAGCAATCTAAAAAGCTAATTCACCTTTTTATCATAGCAGACAATTGTCTTTGCGCATATCTTTTGTTTGAACAAAATATATATTCAATAATACGTAATATTTGTTTCTTAGATCAAGTCTAATTGATAGTCTGAAGTCATGTATTCGATACGAATAACTCATTGTCTTGAAATAAAATTTATGCCAATTTCAAATGATATTTTTTATGTATTTAGATTAAATTCTAATTAATCATTGTAATAATGAAATATATTCAACATAATCAATATAGTCATATACAATTAAATACAGTATTTCCGCCAATCTTAAACATTTATTTGAAGCTTATCTCAAAATAATTGAATATCTTGACGATAATTATAGGCAAAGTACAAAATAATATGTTATATAAATATATTTTAATAATACTTAAACATTTTTTAATAATTAATGTTTTAAGTATATGAAAATTTCTAACGGTTTATATACATATATTTAATTTTCTCTGATTTTTATGCAGAGAAAAAAATTATTCGTGAAATCGCAGTAAACGTCTCGTGGGATACTGTTGAAACGTTACTATATACGTTAGTGTATACAATGAACAAAGACAAATATACATATATATATATATATATATATATATTTATTTATTCTATTTATATGTATATATATATATATATATATATATATGTGTATGTATGTTTGTCTTTGTTCATTGTATGTACACTAAATTTACATCTCTCTATTAATTGTATTTACGATTTGCGACTTGCGACCTGCATCCATTGCACGCATTTCTAAATTTTACTAGCTGCGAAACATAAATAATATAGCGTATACATAACAAATAATTTTATTACCATTGACTAGATCAAGATCAGCTTACGATATGTAAAATAATAATAATAATTATAATAATAATTATGATGAAGCTATTTTTATTATCGAATTTTACTAGCTGTAATTTAGAATAGACCTATAAATCAATAGACGACATTTTTTCATTCATCATAATTGATAGTATGTATTTTCTTGTTCACTTTTAGAGTCAGTTATTTAGGTTAGCTCGGTTTAATTATTTGGAGAAGATGTTTCGTAACAGTTATCGCTTCTAAGGATTGCTGCATTATTGTGAATCTGAAACATAAAGCAAAAATGGATTTTATAATCTTTTCGAAATATCTGAGAAGAAAAAGTTCTATTCTAATTTGAATTGTTTAATGTAATTGCACAAAACTATTGCGGAAAAAACTCTTGAAAAAAAAAACATTATTTTAAAGTATTTTAAACCTCATTGTCAATACAATAAATATTCACTAAATTTATTCAATAAAAAATATATATAAATTTAATTATATTGCCTATCTAATTCACATTTCGTTTAAAATGCAATACATTGATGTTCATACATTTATACATCATACATTTAAGATACATAAAAAGATATTTATATTATGAAAATGGCATATGACAACATTATGATATAAAAATTATCAATAAAAAAATTATGTGCCGTTATAAATAAATCATTTATGTGTGATAATCTGAATAACGCACTTCGTGAAGAATTTATTATTTTAATTCTCATTATTTTTTAAAATAAAAATTAAAGATATAGTGATATAGTAGATATAATAAGATATAATAAAGAAAGATAAAATTTATACAGCCTATTAATGAAGCATTTCAAGATTAATGAATCGTGTTTATGTAGATAACTGGATTTTATGACCAGTGAAACTGTCATCCCAAAGTGTGTGTGTTAGTAGAATGTAGAATTTTATCATTATTTCGTGCAATCGTGTGTACACAATGGTAAGCAACTTTTCGACGACAATATACCGCAGAGAAACTTTTAAAGCAGACCCTTGCGTCGCTATTGTTTCGCAGTCGCCAGGAAGATAATCCGCAGCTTTGTTTTAAATGTCACTTAGTACCCGGTATACAAGGAAAAATATTTTCACAGCATCAATAGCGCGGAATAATTCGTAAACGGACGATTACAAGTGTTAATCATAGAATGTAGTAAAAGTATAGAATTGAGAAGATAAGTTTTATCGGCAGGCGTAAAGTATATCGATAAATATTATACAGAGAACAATGTATGACACTTAAATGCCTCACGTTACATGCAGGATAAAAGATACAGAATAGTTATTTTACTGATCAAGAAAGTCATCCGAGAATAATATATTTCATCATGTATTATATATATATAATATTAGAAAATATTAAGAAGAAATATTTTTGAGAATTTTATTTTGAGAAAAAAAGATAACGATTATTTTTTTGCTTTTTCTCTCACGCAAACACATACACGCTATAAGCACATTTCACACGACAAAGATTAGAGAAGCATAATTATTCAGCCATTAGAATATGCATGAAAGATAGACGAAACGTCAGAGAATCGTGGCGTGAGTGTTTTGATTGGCTGATCAGCTGATCGAATTACCTAATATTGCTGGCGAATCCCCATCCACGCCAATCCTTTCGGTGTTATCAAACACGCTTATGAACGGGCTGTCGTCCTCGTACGGGGCTGTCGCCCATTTTTTGCCTCTTACCCCCACAAACATCCCCCGTAACTCCCATCGTGGATTTTTCTTACCGCGCATCTCGAAATATCGGAAAGGCGATCGTTTTTCAAGTTGACACGAAGCTAGAGCGTTTCTCCTATTGTTCGTTCCTGCTCGGGGGAAATATACAACATGGACGAATGTGACCATTTCGAGCTCAAAATTGCACGGCATACATGAGCGGAAAGAAAAAAAGAAAAACAAAAATTTATCCACTATTTCAATGTAGAGTTTGACTCGGAGATACATGAATAATAAAATAAACATTTAGAAAAGCTTCCCGTTACGTTCTCTCTACTGGGAATAGATTTTATCGATTAACGTCTAGTCGTGTTAAAAGGGCTATTGAGGAAACTGAGCTATTTCACAAAATACTCCAGTGCATGATAAAAACGAGGGAAAATATTTCATCGAGCTAATGCGGAAATTTTAATCGAATTGTTTAGTCTTATCGATAACTGTAATAAAATTCACACGTTTGCGGATATTCTTTTATCTATTTCAATTCAATATCGAACAAACGTGTTTTTGCCTTTTAAAAATCTTGTATGAAAAAAGAGAAACTTCTGTTAATTTTTATCTTTACAATTTCTTATATATGTTAAATTTTAAATTGATAATATAAATCTAATTTTCGTATGTTATATTGTAAAATTTATGAAAAACTTTTGCCAAAATTTTGAATGAGATGAATGGAACTCAATCAATAATGTTTTTTTAATTTTTAATAATTATAGTATGCGTGTGTTTATTATAAAAAGTAATATTAATAAGTAAAAGGCATCAATAAACACATTATGCAGATGTTTCTCCTTTTCCAATAATTGTGTACATTACATTTAAATTACATCAATTACCTTGGTATTCGTTTGATGATCGGATGTTAAAATTGATGCCGGTATCAAATCTTTGTCCCGTATTTCTTTTGCCTCTCATGCCTTGGAAACCCATAGGTGCTCTTTTATCAGAATCTTTTTTGCCTCTCATTCCTTGGAAACCCATTGGTGCCCTCTTGTCGAAATCCATGTCGGGATCCAAGTAATAATCTATGTAATTTTCCAAAGCATTTTTCTTGCCCCTCATACCCTGAAAAGATGATTAAATAAATAATTAAATTTCTTTAAATGTTTTCTGTGTATATTTTTATTAAATTAAGTTAAAACAAACAGTATTATTAATTTTTTCGTAATAATTATAAAGTTATACACTATTTTTGTCGCTTTTCTTTTGAATATATTAAATATAACTTCACAATTGAGCAAGTAACCTGAAAACCCATGATAGTTCGTTTCTCAAGTTCTTCTATCTCATCGAGCAATGATTTCTTGCCTCTCATCCCCTGAAATCCCATAGGAGCCCTTTTCTCCCATTCCATCGGAAATTCTTTCAACTTGCCACGAATACTCGCGAGGAGTCTCTTTTCGTAATCTTCCGGATATTCGAAAACATATGTCTTTTTATCTCTCGTATCATAATAATCCATCGCGGCCTTCTTTTCGATTTCACCTAACACCTGTTTATACATGCAATTTTTGATATTTCTCAGTAAAATAAGAATATAACGTAAGAAATAACATTAAGAATTTTAAGCAAAGTAAATATTGCTAATTAAAAATGATTATATTTAAAACATGCTTGTAGATAATAAAAGAATTAAATGTTTATGGAATAATTATATATTTTTTTTTTTTTAAACAGAAGGCTTAGAGAGTAGAGAAAAAGTAGACTATATTTATAATATTCATTTACGACGTCATACTTCAAAAGAAACTTTACTTAAAGAATTTTACTTAAAGAATTCTGTGTGCATTTTTTAATCATTATCTTAAATTCTCTTCAAGTGCAATAATTTAATAATTTAATTAATATCGAATATTTTCGGACTTACCTCTTCCAAAGACTTCTTTCCTCTCATTCCTTGAAATCCCATCGGTGCTCGTTTATAATAGTCATCATCTGAAACAACTTTTTTTCCTCTCATACCCTGGAAACCCATTGGTGCTCTTTTCTCGTCACGAAAATAGGAATCTTCGAAATCAGGCGTTAAATAACCTTTTTTCCCTCTCATACCCTGAAATCCCATTGGTGCTCGTTTCTCAAACTCGTGAGAAAGATTATCTTCAATGTCGGGCGCATTCGAATCCTTATTATCCTATAATTAACACATTTTGTTTTTCATAAATAATTCAGAAAGCAAGAATTAAATAAAAAAAAGAACGATTTCTTTTTTTGCCTTTTCTTCGTATTAATTTTTGATAGAGAAATAACTTACTTGAAAATCCATTAGCGTTCTCTTGGATAATTTATTGTGTTCTAAGGAAGTAGGAATGAGATTTTTATTTCCGCGCATATCCTGAAATCCCATAGCCGCTCGTTTGTTGGACGTAGCATCGCTGGAAGACGATTCTTCCGCAAACGATGAACTCCAAATTGCCAGAAAAAGAACTGAGTTGATAAGCATTCTGAAACATATCAAAGATAAAATAATTAATACTGATAAGAAAATATTCATTGATTTAATTATCTTTTACTTAGGTTCCAGAAACTTAAATATGAACATCCACCAAACTTCCGTAAAGTAATAAACTCGTGCTAATCTCGCATCTTGATGTACACGAAAATCACACTGCATCAGGCTAAACTAATTTATCAACCGTAATTGTATTTGATTATCAAGAATTTCTAGTCACACACTAATTATTCTCCAGATATGATCTTTAAATACTTAAGAAATGTCAACTGCAATCACATACTCGCTTTTTATTAAACCTTGAAGTACATATAAGAAGAAAACAGACAGGCTATTTGTCAATAATAGAAAAATCAATATTTTTTTATTCTGATTAATTGTAGATTATGAAAAAGAACAATTATTTATAACTTATTAAAAAGAAAAGAAGAGAGAAAATAATATTTAATAAATAATAATTAATAAATAATAATTGAGAGAGAAAATAATAAAAAAATAGAGAGAGAAAATAATATTTAATAAATAATAATTGAATTCTTTGTTTGCTTCAATTATTATTATATAAATCTAATATATGAGTAACATGCATATGCAAATATCAATTTTGTTTTTATTCTATATAGAAGATGTGAGGAAATTAAAATGCGTTTTTCGTATGATGTGCTTTTCTGCGAGCAAGAGAATTTACCACAAAAAAATCGTATCACGAGAAGATAACATTTCCGCGAGAGCAAAACGTGTAAAAAATAAGAATACCAAAGAATGTCAAACATTCAGGAGAACATAAAGACGCTTTTGCGATTAAAAGAAAACTGCATGTTGCATTAAGAGAAAATCTGAGACAGAGAGATGATCTGAAATTAAAAAGAACGGTAAATTGGAAGAGGCATTTTTTATTAATTTGGAAAAATATGTTTCCCTTGAAAAAATCGAATGAATTTAAATTCCGGGTTAAAAGTGCTTCGTACACCGACGTCGAATCTAAATATAATGAAAAAAAACGGCGCTCATATATATAATTATGTTCTTGTCGTGCTCCTCAACAGATTATACAATTTTATAAAGGTTTAAAAGAGAGTGCCGTTACCTTTCAAAGCAGAGGCTATAATTAGCGAATGGAAGGATAGGATAAAGGCATGCTTTTCTCAAAGCATTTCGCGCCACGAGAGTAAGATCGAAGAATCAATATCATTTCTTCAATATCAATAAGCTATCGAGAGATAGGTAAGATACATTCTAATTATTAATCGAGAACGAGTTTTTAAATATTTTTTTAATAAAAAATACCAGCACAGTCTTATTACCACTTTTCGAGATTGATCAAAAAACATTTAAATACATTAATGATTGTTTGTACATTTTGTTAATATAAACTTTTCTTCAATATTATATATATATATATATATATATATATATATATATATAATATATATATCTATATATATATATAAATTTTAAGCAAAGTAAAGTTTTATAAGCAAAGTATAATTTTATAAAGCTTTTATACATTTCTTTTTTCTTTCTTTTTGTAATCAAGAAAACTAATATTCTTATATATCATTCATTTTTCCATTAATACATTCACTTAGCTAATTATTTTTTATGATTTCTGTTAATTATGTATGTAAATAAAAAATCATATGTAATTAAATGCAATCAATTTTACTTAGCAGATTTACTAAAATTTAATTTTTATTAATGTTGTCTAGAATTTTTTTTATATATCATATCATATTATTAACTTATCAATAATATTTTATTTTCTCATATATAAAAATATAAAAGAAATAAAAGGGATAAATTAACGTGTTTTTTATATAACGACATACAAGATTTATATCCTATGTGTAAAATCGATTGAATAATGTTATTTTATATATTTTTTTTTTTTTTATTGTTTTATGTCCCATTTTATCGCCGTCATATTGTGTTAATCAATTTCCGTTTAATATATTTCTATTCAATGCGATTTGATATCATTCGTAAACACATGGTATGTTGTATATGCATTGCGTAAATATATAAATAAATTAAATATAATCCTTAGCATTATAAACCGTGTCAAATGTTTGAATCAATGTATTTTCTAACGAAACAAAATAAATATAAAATACAATAAAATAATTATACATTATATCATTAAGTATAGCAAAAATGATATTGTTTATACACTTTTCAAAATAAAGGCGAGTTTTGCTCATAGACATAAAGAAATAGATCTGATATGCAGTGGTATAGCATATATTAAGCCAGACTTTATGAAAAAAAAGAAAGGGATATCAGATTTTATTCTTTGATTTCCGTTTATTTGTATACCTGAATAGTCTATGGTTTTTTCTTTGTATCAATAGTCTGTCGTTGACTGTCGATAAACATAAACGTACAATGTATTGCAACTTTAGTTTTCAGTCGAAAATAACATTTATTGTAATTTTATTTATTTTATTTTTTATTTATTATGTCTTTCTAAGATCCCTTTTTTATAATTTTTTAAAAAATAAAACACATTTTGCAATATGTTTTTCTTAAAGGTTCGCTCAATTCTTTGGTTACTTAAGATATATATGATATTAGTTGTTTTTCTTCTGTGATGTAAATCTCTCTACTTTTTTCTTCCTTTTTATTGCTTTCTCTTTTTTCAGTTTTAAATAATAATAAACAGAGAATACAGAATATATATTACCCTCAAATCAAATACAAATAATCACAAGTAAGTTTACGTATAGTTACGCAAGTATACTTCACAAGACCTTAAATACACTTAGTTGTCCTACAGGCTAATCGATTTGCTTATGTAAATGGATGGTAATATTACTGCAAGATTAACATGAATGATATGCATAAACTTGCAACTGGTGGCCATACACGTATTATACAACATATTCACAATATATTCACAGTATAATTTACACAATAATTATATTTATGATATAAATTGGTTTTCAACAAATATGAGTCATTCTAAATTTCTTTTACTATAATGGAATATCAGTTTATTAATTTAAAATTCTACTGATAATAGAGTTTCTCAATTTGGGGAAATATGTGCAGTTTATTAATTTAATTAATTTAATTTAATTAATTTAAAAATCAGTAGAAAGTTAATTTAATTTAAAATTCTACTGATAATAGAGCTTCTCAATTCGGGGACATATGTGCATTGATTTAATTCCTACTTATATAGTAAAACAATGAAAATAAAAAAATCTTCAAGGTACATTCATATAAATGTCGATCGCAAGATCGCCTCCTAAAATCGTGGCGCATAAAAGACACTAATGCCGTAGGACGCGCGTACATTGTAAATCGTTGAGATCGGCCTCTCCGTCGTGCAAAGTAAACGGAGCGAGAATTCTAGCTCGACGAAGGGGCACGAGACGCCGGGCATGTGCCATGTAGAGAAGATGAGGAGAGGAGCGAGTATGATAAGAGCAGGATGAAGAGGTGTGGAGGGTAGCGAATATGTGAGAGACTGTAGCGACTGATGGGCGGTGATGAGCCTGTTCCTCACTGCCGATCGGTCACTCGTGTAATTGTTCTGAGCAAGCTTGTCCTACACCCGGTTATATTCCTTTAAAGACGACAATCTCGAGAGTCTGATGCTCTCGCTTTCGCAAAGCGTATCATACGCGTGAGATTTGCCGAAATTTCCTTCGTGATACTCAAAGAGATCTTCAATTGTGCCAAAAATAAAATACATATCTCGGATAGACTCTCTCTTTGACTTTAACTGCAAATTGGATACTGTGTAAATAATATGAAAAGATAAATTATCAAGTGTGGCAATCTTGAGAAAATAGATCCGAGATTTAAAATAGTTTTAATTTTCTTCAAAACTTATATGTAATTTTGATTACAAATTAAAATATTGTTGTATCTAATTTTTTCTATTCAGAACAGAATACAATATATAATCGTATATTTAAGAAAATATTAATTATGCTATTAAATAATGATTTCCGTAATAATTAAGCAACGGATTAAGTTTAAAATAAATTTTTAGCAAAATAAGTGAAATAGAAGGATATTTAGTTTAAAATTTTATTAATTTTTATATATCGACGTTTGTATCATGTAGGATGCAGTAAAATCTAATATATATCGATTGGAGTACATCTGTACGGTACATATACGTACAAAGAACAAAAACGCTTACTTGAACGATGATCTTTATGAAAAAACAGAGATTGATAGAGAAGCTGAGATGAATCTGAACAATGCTCAAGGAGAAATCGTAATAAGAGAAAATCATTCAGGTAGAAGAGTCTCTCTATTGTCTATGAAAGGGTACATTTATCTTTACAAAGTAGTATAGCGTTATACATAATGTAAAACAGTACGTTCGAATCTGTCAGAAATCCACGTCATGGACCATGTGTTCTATTTCTCACTATACAAGATTTATACCTGAAATTAATATATAGATATAAATCAAATTTACTCCAATTGGACATATGTCGTATCTTTCCATTTCAAATGAATGATATATGTCATTCCACGTACAAAATATGTAATAATAATATATAATTTAGTATTTAATTAATCAAAAATAAATTTATAAAGAAAAAAATTTATAAAAATAAGTTTTTTTAGTATGAAAAAATATAAAAATGATAAACACATTTATATATAAATGTATATGTGCATGTGTATAATTTCGAGAAAATGTCTTCAAAAAATTTATGATAAGAATATGACATATAAGCGAATGAAGGGATTTTATTTTATATTATAAAGATTTTTTGATAATATTTAGATAATTTTGATTTTCGATTTAATAATTATAAGTAATTCCTGTATGTTTACTGTATGCTTTTAATATTTAATAGTTATTACTTGAGAAATTTATATGTATCTTATTTTTTTTAAATATCTACGCATATATATTGAAGATAATTTTTTTTTAAATATGTATATTTAAAAATATTTTTATTTGACAAATTAAATAAAAATAACATCCGGAATTTTTAAGAAATATTAACAAGTTTGCCA